GCGCATTTCCAGATGTGCTTCGAGTAGGTTAGGGAGTTGGTGTCTGAAGATCATGTGTTGTTGTTCACGGAGGTCTGTGGCGGTGGGGTGGGGTTTGAAGAGGCGAGAAATGCGCATTTCCAGATGTGCTTCGAGTAGGTTAGGGAGAGGTTCTCTTGATCGGTTCCACTAGGGTTTACAGCACCCATAGCGTTTGTCTATTTTCAAGGGAGATTTTCATTGGCAATAATGTGGTCCTCGGGGGCGTTGAGATGCTGAGGCCTTTAGCAAATCACCCAAATTCTCCCCCACCACCAATGACTTGTTGATGCTGGCTGTCTTTGTGAATAGTGTGGACACGCCGCGGAGACTATTCATGTGCAGCAACACCACAAGTCTTTGTGAATAATTTGGCGTTTGGCCTCTTAACCTCCCTCTTAAACCCCTCCTTCTAAATTGGCAAAACCCCATATGTCGGATGCCAGTAGTTCTTTGTGTGACCCTTTGGTGTGACACTGTGAGACACCTTGTGACTGCGTGACATGGCAGCTTTGGCAGTGTGATATTATGTGACCTGCCAAAAATTGAGAGTGTGGCACTTGTGACAGGGCAACTGGGAGGAGGAGGGGATGTGTACCTGGCGTGGATCACAGGGTATGTTCAGGGCGTGTATGGCTGAACCTGGCTTGGATCACAGGATATCTTCAGGGTGTATATGGTGTGATACAGCGTGTTGTGACACAACATGACGTAAGGCGGCGAGACCTCACACGTCACATGATGCGACAAGATATAGAAAAGTTTATTTGAGCGTTAGATGAGACTTCATGAAAACGGGCCCGAACTTTCATTAAATTTGAAATTTCATTCACAGGTTCACACAAGGGCCTGCCTGTTGGTAGGGACTCAGGAGTGAAGACCGCGGAACCTATCGGAATAGCGCTAGAGCCTAGTGGTGCCAGTCACACAGGCGGGGCAGGATGTAGGATAAGATAGCATTAGATGAAAGGGGGGTCAGGACTTTTATTTGATTCACCGAAGGGCCTGCTTATCGGTAGGTAGGGCAGACTGCGGAAGCTGGGCCGACAACGTAGTGGCACCAGACACACGGGTGCTGCACGAGAGTGTCACAGAGGAGAGTGTCGCAGAGGAGAGTGTCACAGAGGAGAGTGTCGCGTGACTCTGTCTTATCCTACGATGCCCCCATCAGGGGGAGTATCTAGTTAGACTGTTAGAGGCATCTCAGCATGCAACTCGTGTTTTTTTCTCCGAGTGTTCGATGGTTTGTTCCTGTACCAGGAATGAGTAGCAAGCGCCGGATGCATTTTTTTCTTTTCTTTTGCACACAAGGTTTGTGGTGTGGCGGCCGCGGCTTTGAGTTTGGCAAGTGTGGATGCAACAGTGCAACTGTTCTGTCCGCGCGACGATTGCGACATACGCCTCGGTGAGTGTTGATTGATTTCTTGTTTTTTTTGGGGGGGGGTTATTGATTCCTGTCGCGACATTTTGTCGTTTCACTGTTCGTTCTTTGTCGTCCACCTCTTCGCAGTTCCATCGCAGTTATGGTTTATCGTTTGCTGTCATTTGCCCTCCACCTCCCGTTTCCATTGCAGCACGCATTGATAAGCTGCCATTCCCATCATGACAGGTACGTTGGGTCTTCTTTTCCCGTCAGTATCGTATCACCTGGTGGTGACGATCTTCAGATTGAGAGTTGCCTTCATCCGATTCGTCCATATGAGCTGAGGGCAGGAGTTTGAATCCGAAAGGGTAGGGTAGGGTAAGGTAGGGTAGGGTAGGGTAGGGTAGGGTAGGGTAGGGTACACACGGAGATAGAGAGTGAAGAGTCGGGCAGTCACTGTTCTCTCCTGGAGGGAAGGAGTTGGAATCGGTCTTCTTGTCCAGATGGGCGACCTTTGTCTTTTTTTTTTTTTTTTTTTGGGGTTGCTTTTTCGAAGGAAAAGAGAAGGGAGGGAGGATGGTGAAGGAAAAGAGGAAAAAAAAAAAAAATCGAAGGTTGCAAAGTTTAAAGTTTTTCATTTTTTATTATTATTATTATTTTTTCCCGAGCTTAATCCATTTATCCATTATTGCGTACTCATTGTTTTTTTTCCTTAAATTTAAATCCAGTTATCGAATTTATTTATTACTCAATTGTTGATGGACATCGAATTGTTGTGCGAGACGGAAATTGGCTGGGCTGAGCAATTTGATTTCTCCAGTGGTGTACTTGATGCGGATGGGTTTCGTATATTGTTGTGCCTCATAGACGGGACGTGTGGGACAGGTGGAACATGTGGTACAGGTGGGACAGGTACGGAATCGCTTAGGCGTACTACGATTTCCTCAGGCGTCCGGTCAGTGTACTCACCTTCCTGAGTG